TTTATTATTTTGGATAAAAAGAGATTACAACTGTATGAGAGCAAAAACACAAGAGCATTCTTCGATGCAATAGTGTTCTAGAACAGCCTTTCTCAACGAAGGTTGCCCAGGCACCCTGGGTTGCCTTCAGACTTCTTCAGGGGTGCCTTGGCAAAAAGCCCAAAAATTGTATACAAGCCAGCAGGTGGATCAATCCTGCCTTTTGGTTACACAAATGTTTTCATTGTGCACTTTTATGACCTTCTAGCTGCCTGCATCCAAACAACTAATGACATCATCAGTTGATAAGGAGGATGTTGGGGGCATGCACATCATCCTTTTCTGACCCTTCCCTGCCCCTCTCTGTCAGCTCTGGGGTCCCATTAGCAGATTGAGGGAGAGAAAATGAGAGAGACACACTGGAATACTAGTCGGTACCAGTGCGCAAAGGTGTATTTGCTTTGGAAGAATAAATCACCTCTAAAGTTGGGTATACTGGATGTGTGTAGAATAGTTTTTTACATTTTTATATTGGAGTGCCCTGAGATTCTGCAGAATTTTAAAGGGTGCCTTGAGATTATCCATCATTTTAAAGGGTATCTTGACTGAAAAAAGGTTGAGAAACACTGTTCTAGAACATTGGCCTATAGCATCGTATCCATAATATATAGGGTTTATATGTTGAAGTAATTATTTTAAGAACCAGCAGATGCAGGGAAAGGAAGGTCAAAGGGTAAAGTCAGGCTGAAATAGGAGAGCATAAAAAGGGAGAACGGAAGAAGAGAAGAAAAAGTTGGAGGTAGAACTCGCCCCCCACAGACGTGGGTCAAAAAAATCAAATGAGTTTTTGTTATAGGACACACAGACTAATGGGGTTCAAGTAATGCATAAGAGAGCCATGGTTCCCAAACTTTAGGGAATTTATACTGTGAGTCATAAGGATATTGGACATTTTTTTCCTTCACCAGCATCAGGTTCACGTGTTTCTTAACTGGACTGAGGACTTCTTTAAAGTGATTCAAAAGGCTTGGTTTTTTTTTTGTTAAAGAAAAAATAACAAACATGTCATACTTACCTGCTGTGTGCAGTGGTTTTTCACAGAGCAGCCCGAATCCTCCTCTTCTGTGGTCCCCCGCAGGCTTTCATGGCCCCTCCCTCTTGTTAGGTACCCCCACATCAAGCAGCTTGCTATGGGGGCACCCGCTGCTCCATGTGTCCATTCACACATGTGACTCGGCCCCACCCCTCTCTCTTCTCATTGGCTCACTGGCTGTGATTGACAGCAGTGGGAGCCAAAGACTTCCACTTCTGTTTCAGCCAATGAGAATATGGAGTCCCGGGATAGCCAAGACTCCAGTGCACACCTCTATATCGAGAGGGGGCTTAAGTGAGTATTAGGGGGGGCTTGGGGGTGATGCTGCACACAGAAGGTTTTTTACCTTCATGCATAGAATGCAGTAAGGTAAAAAAAAAACCTGAGCCTTTAAAACTACGTTAAAGTCCATGCTTTTTTTTTTTTTTTGTGTTTCTGTTGGTGGACAAAAAGGCCCCTTGCCAGCTGGTGAAGAAGGACCATTGGTATGTCTGTGATGACTATTACATGAAATAATGTTTGAAACAAACCAAAAATTCTGGACCAGAATGCCGTACGTATAGGACAGAACCACCATATATGTACTGTGTCTCCACATAAACCACATCCACGAAAACATCTATCACTAAAATTTGGGTTGACATAGCCAAGCTGGCCACAATCCTGATCCCACCAAAAGAGAACCTTATAAATAAGAGCGTTTTATCACAGTTGTATTAACCACATATTGCTCTTGTGAACTCTAATGGGTGCTCTGCAAGGGCAGCTATCTGGGGAGAACCGGGTTCTTAAAATTTTAACACAAATGTATATAAAAATGACACCAAAAGCATTCGCATGGATAAACAAATTCAAATATAGAAAAAGCGTACACTTGTCCACATTAAGACTTGCTTATTGTCATGGTTGTGGGTGATACAGACATAAGACTGGAGAAATCTCTCCACCCCAAGGTAACAAACATCTCTAAAAATCCATTAAAGTTTTAAAAAAAAAGTGTTGGCCAGATTATGTTTTTTAGGAGTAATAAAATCATTGTTTGATAACCTAGCATTTTGTGGGTTTTTTCTTTAATATTTGCTCAGACAGCTAATTCACACTTTTTTCCCCTATGTGTAAATGACTTCACGAATTGCCGGTACAATTTCATTTTGTCTGAGTAGAGTAGCAAATGTTCATATTTTTCTTGCTGCTAGAAAATTAATGATGGGACTGTAGATAGTTGGAATGCTTTGTCTAGATGAACATTCTAAAAGACAACTGCAGACAAACATTTCTCATTGCACAGGGTATTTCAAAATCCTATACAGGCATAATGGAATTAAATGTGTAATGATTATTATTTACAGATCTCTCTGTGCTACCTTACAAATGTAAAATCAGCATAAAGATGCAGTCATGGTTTAATGACCCCTAGTCATCATCTGGTCAAGAAAAAAAATCTCCAGGGTTATGATTTCATGAAATTTGGCTGAATAGGTACATATTTTTTTTTTTCTTTTATTTAAAAGCCATCACAAGTTGCAAAGTAGGAAGATTGGGTCCAACCTTTCATGGTTGATGAGTGATCATTTTGTTATCCTTCTCTCCGTAGGATTTTAATAAATATTCATGCTATGGAAATAATGATATATTGTAATTTAAATTAATTAGGATTATTAAAATGAGCGTAGAAAATAGGCAACCTTTAAACTAGCATTTCATACAGTGCCGGTCTGAATACATTATCATCAGCAGCGTTTGTATAAATTAGCTGACGACCAGCATTGTATAGATGCCCTCACGGAATTTTTAAACTGCTTTACATTTCTCTCTGCAGGTCCAGTATCACTACATATTTTCTATGGCATTGTTACTTTGAAGTTGGTTTACTGTGTTTTTATCCCTGGAGGGGGGAAAAATAATTTTGAGCTTGTGCAGAAAATTAACAAAAATTACAAATCTGCAATTAATGTCCTTCTTTTTTCAAATGTATTTCATAAATACGTAGACATTTTTTTGTATTTCTTTTTTCTTTCTATCCCTGCCTATTTAATGCGATTAAATGTAATATGATCAGGGAAGGATCAAATGAAGACACAAAGGAAATAAAAAGGAACCTCCTGGATAGGGTGAGGATTGCCCATATGCAGGAATATCTTTTACAACCTTCTTTCTTGAAAACTTCAGTTCATTCAGGGATAATGCTATGTCCTAAAGCTGCCCACCAGATTGGGCCACTCAAGACATCTTTGACATCTTTGCAGCAGATTCGTTCATTCTCCATGACAAATACATTTATCAAATGTGGGTAGTCCAGGGAGGCGCAGATGCAGTGCCTAAACATTTTACTTTTTTTATCCTCTCCCAATAGTTTCATAGCAGGTAATTATTGGGCTGAAATGTGAAAATTTTGCTCAAAGGTCTCCTCTTTGTGCGTACATTTTCAGATATTATTATTATTATACGGGATTTATATAGCGCCAACAGTTTGCTCAGCGCTTTACAATATAAAGGGAGACAATACAGCAACAATACAGTTCAATACAAGAGGGTTAGGAGGGCCTGATCCTGGGAGCTTACAATCTAAGAGCCGCTGGTGCAACTTCTAACAAAGGCATGGATAACATATGCTCAAGAAGAGATTTTGTCATTGGAAACTTAATAGGGTCTTCATTTCCACAGCACCTACTTACCTATCAAGAATTGAAACCATTTTGGTGGACTAGTTGAATGTTATAATACTATTGTTTTTGGCATAACATAAACTTGGTTATAATTAAGTTTTTTTATAAGTATTTTTTTTTTTACACAACTGCTTTTGAAACATTTCTTGCCTGTGCCAAAAAAATTCCTGAATAAACTACATACCCCTGTCTAATGCTGAATAGTCGCATCTAGCCTTTTCACAGTTTTTCTGAGCAAAGATTCTCAGATGCACAGTGGCTAAATGGTTAGCACTTCCAGCTGGCAGTATGAGGGTTGTTGGTTCAA